ACTTTGGTTACTTAATACCCAAAGGTAAATAACAAAGAGAAAATGCATTTCTACTTTATAACCAGTTGTGCATCCCATCCCACAGGATCTACTAACCCTGGGAATCAATTAAAATTTTTTGAACTATTATCATAAATTTTATTTCATCATAAATGGTTGATTAATACCAAAGAGCAGATTTCAACGCACGTATTTTTTTCTGACTATGTACCCCCGCTCCTCCAGTACCCCTGACCCAGGAGCCCTGAAATTAACAATTTTGGAAGAGGCGCCTTTCTTCAATATGTGAATCTTTTTTTTTTTTTTACCTTAGATCATTGGCATAATATCCAGGAGCGAAGGAAAATATTTTGAAAAAAATCATGCATTTTCACTATATCATAATAAGAGCCAAGTCTTAACAACAGAACCCCTAACCCAGGGGTCCTGAAATTCATAAATTTGAAAGAGGCATCCTTCCTCATCATAACTATGTACATAGTGTATTGGTTTAATTCCCAGGCGCAGAGAAGATTTTTTAAAGAATCAATGTATTTTCACTATATAATTAGAGCCACACCCTAACACCAGAGCCCCGACCCAGAAGTCATAAAATTCATGATTTTAGAAGATGCATTCTTGCATATCATAACTATGTACTTAGTAATTTTGTTTAATGCCCAGGAGCAGAGAAGAATATTTTCAAAGAATTTATGCATTTTCACTTTAAAATCAATAGAGCCCCGCCCTAACTTCAGAAACCCCGACTCTGATGAAATTCACAATTTTGGAAGAGATAGCCTTATATAACATAACTATGTACTTGGTTACTTTATTAAAATTCCAAGGAGTACAGAAGATTTTCAAAGAAATAATGCATGTTCACTATATAATCTGTATAGCCCCGCATTAGCACTAGAACCCCTGACCCCGGGCCATGAAATTCACAATTTTGGAAGAGGCACTGAGCCTTATTCAACATAACTATGTACTTGGTTAGTTTATAAAATACCCAGGAGCAGAGAAGAGTTTCAAGGAAATAATGCATTTGCTCTTGACTAGATAATCTATATAGCCCCGCACTAGCACTAGAACCCCTGACCCTTGGGTCATAATTTTCACAGTTTTGGTAGAGGACTCAATGCTGATTACAATCATGCAAACAGAACAACAGCTTGATGTCCAGGAGTAAAGAAGAAGATTTAAAGATTGCATTCATTTTAGTGGTTTTGGCCCCACCCGTCAGGCCTTGGGGTGGCATTTTTGTTCCCTTTCACCAATAGATGCTTTCTGACAAAATTGATTGAGATTGTTTGAGCGGTAGCAAAAAGAACCCATGTTACATGTTAACGTACGACACATATCGAACGACGACGGACGAAAACATATAGCAATAGGTCATCTGAGTACTCAGGTGACCTAAAGATTAAGCATACGGCGCATACGTGCGTGAGTGAGGGTGATACCGACGTAAAGTTGCCGAGCTCATGCACTAAAATAGAGCTAAACTGGATAAGAACTGAGTTTTAGGGTGAACGTTACGAATATAATTGCCTGCTGAATAAGATGTACTTTCGGATTCATTGGTAATGCCTTTACCATTACAGTGGTGGTTTGATGAAAAACCCTGTCTCGATATATGACGTTATTACGCGCCAACGTCACGGTTGGTTGAAAAATTTCAAGTTACTCTCTGACAACTGGAAAAATGTTCTTTGGTAGTAAAATCTATAAAAAACTGCACAGTAACATGCTCATGGTGTTGTTGCCTTTTTATTCACTTGTGCAATTCAATTACTGGACCCACTGAAACTTCCGTCAGCCGTGCCACGATTGAAAGAAATTAATCCTGAATGCAAAGATGCAAAAACAATGTCTGTACCTCCAGTGAATCAGTTGGGCCTATGAAATGTGTCCACAAAACTTTCTTCATCAATATGCTGACTTTCTGACTTTTTACCACGTTTCCTACGTGACGTCATATATTTCGCGGTTGAGTAGTTTTTGAACACCGATTTTCGTACAGAATAATCAAGGTACACCCCGACCAGTTTTCATAATTTTTGTCCACACAGTCAAAAATATTTCGCAAATTATGTTTCCATGTGTGTCTAACACAATTCCATACTTAGTGATGTGATATTTATATCATAAATGGCACGATTAAGTGGGTTTGTGCTAATCAGAAGTGTGTACATGTCATACATTTCCCCTTGATTATATTGATGATTTTGTCAGTTTACTGGCAGGGTACAAGCGTTGTGAATAAGTAATGACAATATCAGCACATTAATTTGATAAGGATCCTTAGTAATAATGCCAGGTTTTACATCAATTTACAAATTAAACTATCAACCTATGCCAATCTGTCTCATATCTAAAAGCATCAGCTATGGAAACTGAAATTAAATAAAAAAGAAAATTCTTTGTCATGATTTATTTAACTTTAACTATACATTGAATTTTACATCCAGCATTGGTGATGAAATGCGATGAAGAGTATTTTCCAAATATCGGTGAATGTCCTGCATAATCAATATGCACACAAAATGAGGATTGTTTTAGTAAACAGGGTTTGGATTTCCTTAGTAGTATGTGACATGATTCGCGAGCTTTGGGTTTTGTGGAAATCTTACCATTACACTTGTATGATATCAGCAATTAATTTATTTCAATTGAGTGAAAGTAATTGTAAGATACGGATTACGTACAGAGTGTTATGGCATTGTTCAACAAATGGAAGAAACTTTATTTGAGTGCTCATTTTCTTAAAGTACACCATTGAACCTTATATTAAAAGATCTTGTTTGAAAACGTATTGAAATGTTGAAATACTTTCCATTTAGTGGCTCTTAAGAGTTTGACATTTCACAACATTCGACATCTTTCATTGAAAATGAAATGTGTACCTTATTGGTTTAAAATACGCCAGCAAGTCAAATGGAATGAAATCAAATTGCAAAAGATTCATGGTTACGTAAACAGTGTACTGGCCTTTCGTACAACACGGAGAGCAAATCTTTAAAACTCTCTGTGAGTCATCTTATCATCTGAAGCTGTCGATCATGTTGAGATACTTTCTCTTTTCGATATTTTTTGGATACTCATTTGCACAAACTGGAACAAATATGAATAATCTTTATACGTACTTATTCTCCACATTAAACTACAACAAAGCAATCCGACCTGCCCTTGACCATACCGTTCCCACACAGGTAAGCATAGATCTGACATTGAACGGACTTCACTTCATCGACGAGGCGAAGCAGCAGATGGTCTCGGTAGGAACTCTGACAATAAGATGGAAAGATGAGTTTTTAACTTGGAATCCGTCTTTATATGGAGGGGCAAACTTTATAGATGTTCCACAGGGGAATGTTTGGAAACCGAATATACAGCTTCGGAATGGATTTACCGATTTTGTTGAGTTAGGTGGAAGTTTCATGTTTCTTAGAATCTTTTACACAGGGGATGTGATTTGGTCTCCTTACAAAGTGTTTGATACTAAATGTAAAATAGACGTAACTTTTTTTCCCTTTGATCAACAGACGTGCTCTATTGAATTGATGTCCTGGAACAGTGACTTGTCGACTGAAAATATCACAAATGGTGCCTATGGATTAAGAATTGATGACGAATTGAACCACGGACATTGGCTGGTTTCCTCTCATTATTTCAGTACATTTATTGACGATACAAACTCCCTTATATCTTTTAGCATAACACTGGACAGAAAACCAAAAATCTACGTTCTTAATATAATCCTTCCCTTTGCTTTACTGGCAATTCTGAACCTTGCTACATTTATTTTACCAAATGGTTGTGGGGAAAAGGTGTCTTACTCAATTACCGTTTTACTTGCCCTATCAATATTCTTAACAATTGTTGCAAGCATGCTTCCAGCTAATTCCGATTCTACATCGTATTTAGAAGTGTATATCGTTACAATTGTTACAAAAGGAGTATTTATTCTCATTGCAACAGCGACGTCACTAAGAATTCACAATAGAGCAGACGATATAGAAATACCTGGATGGATACAAAATTTGACCCGGCTCTCATGGAGGCTAAAGTGTCAATGCAAGAAAAGTATAAACTCTAATGTAAATAATTATAAAACTAAAGTTGAAAATATTGACAAGAAACTAGAAGACAGAGATTTGTCAAAAGGTGAGCATGAAGTAAAACCTGTCCGCTGGAAAGACGTGACGTCAGCGCTTGACTTCTATTTGTTCTGGATTTGCTTAATTGTAATGCTGATACTGACATTTATTTTTTTAGGTTTGTTTTCATCAAAGTAAACGATTAAGATTAAAGATGAAATAAGTAAAAAAAGTTTTACTGAAAAAAAGCACGTGAATACAACAAATACTTTAATTTATAATACCTGTTTTCCCTATCTTAGTGATAGATACAACTTAATGTTTAACTGAATTAAATCAGAAAGAAGCCCAATCTAGAAAACCATTTCAAGGAGTTTTGATTGCAAAGTCAAATATGAATTACTTTTTATATACCAAAATATTTATGAAAATTCAAGTAAGAATACATGTATATTGATTTTGATTGTTTGACCTACATATTGTCACTTGACGGAGGTGTTTGCGTTAACGAAATGTATGTATATGGAGATAACAAACAGTATTCATGCTTTAAAAAATCCATTAAAAAATACAAATCAGGAAGAGGACTACAAACAGACCTCTAAAACATGAGAGGTGGAATCAGGTGTCACGGTGGAGTGAATATCCCTTGTCGACTTCTATTAGTAAATTTAAAAAAAAAAAAGAACATAAGGCGCCTTTGCATTTTTCATATGGACTATGAAATATAATTCACACGAAATTAAAGCATAATAAATGTAGTATTCTTAACATGATTTATATCGGAGGAATATAATAAATTATCCTAACCGATTCTCATATCCTTATTCAAAAGTACATTCGAGATTTACGTAAATTTAATTTTTTCTTTTTGTCTTTCTCTATGTTAATCATAGATTTATACCTTCGATCCTTTAATAACGTGGAAATTTTATTTGTGATTATTTGTTTATTATATCATTATAATTTTTTGGCAAGCATTCCTTTCATTGTGTAATCATTTACCTGCATCATAATATACTCATTAACTCTGAACCTTTACTAAGTGTCTTTGAAATATTTTATATATAGTTTAATTTGCATTGTAGAATCTAAATTCAATGTTAAAACTTTAAAATGATGCAGAATTTTAGAAATAAAGATCCAGACTAAAATCGACTCAAAAGCACAGGATCGAACGTCCTTAAATGAATGGAACAAGATTTATTTTTTAATAAGTCATGTACATTACTGAATACTCACGACACCTTATTTTTGCAGGATTACCGGTATTATATGGTAATATATTACAAGACAATTTAAAAAAAAAATAAAAAAAATTAGCTATTGCTGTATAGAAACTTTAGCAATATATGTACTTATATTTAAGCAAGAATCACATTTTTGCAAGCAGGCAGTTCAATTTTTTCAAGATAATAAGGTTATCTCAAACAAGAGGCCCAGGGGCCACATCGCTCACCTGAGCACATCGGCTAAGAAAAAAAAGTACAAATCAGATCAGAATTGAAAAGATTACTGAAAAGGGGGGGGGGCTGAATTCTAATACTACTTGAGAATGCCTCCATATCAATACAGCATATAACTTTGCTGTTCTTGAGCAAAAGATTTTTATATATTTTTTAAAACATTTTGTTATATGGATCTTGAGAAGATTTTTAAAGATTTTCCCTATAAATTCTTGTGTAAAACTTTGATTAGCCATTGTGGCCCCACCCTACCCACGGGGGTCATGATTTGAAGAAACTTGAATGTACACTACCAGAGGAAGATTCAACATTAGTTTCATCTTTCCTGACCCTATGGATCTTGAGAAGAAGATTTTTAAAGATTTTCCCTATAAATCTCTATGTAAAACTTTGATTGGCTATCGTGGCCCCACTCTACCCCAGGGGGTCATGATTTGAAGAAACTTAAATGTACACTACTGTATAGGGGGAAAATAACTCGCGGTGTTAATATTCGCTATATTCACTGTGATAGTAAATCCGTGAATTGAAGAAATAGTGAATAATTTTTCAATAATCTCCATGTTTTATTTGGAAATTTGAGAACATACTGCGATAGGTTTAAATACATTTACATGTACCACAGTACATGGTCATTTCAGTAATTATGAGCAGTACTTGTCAGTCAATTATTTTAATTAGCACGCTTTACATTAATTCAAGTCAACAGATAATAACCTGTATTTGTTGAAAGGCTTTTTAATAGCCAACGCTACATGTTTCATCAATCAAAACACGTGGGTCATGAGTTTTGATAACCCGTGCGTAACTAATATTACCACGCACGGTGTGTGCATTACCTGCATTATCATGCATATTATAATTTTTATCGACATTTTCATTTTTAAAAAATCATTCAAATAACTATCGAACTTACTGAATATTTAGAAGGAGATTATTTCGTCGACCTACATTAACACATTTATTACCGTCCAGTTGTTTTTCGCCGCGATGTATTGAAGATCTTGGGGTGTACATGCACTCATCGTAATAGAATATAGGAAAGTTATTTGACGTTTATAGTCAAGGACTTTTGATAACTGCACCTGTTTTAATTAATCGTCAATTATTTATTAAGTCTAACTATTTTATATTAACCTACCCTGTTGTTCGTGAAATAAAGACAGAACAATATATTATGAATGTCGTTACATGTAGCAATGGATTAAACGGATATAGACAAGGGAGGTAACTTCTATAACATAATTCCGCGAATTCAAGAAACCGCGATCGTGTCCGATGAGAGAAAAGCGTGAAAATTACAACCCGTGAAATTAATCCCCTATACAGTATACCTGAGGATGATTCCACATGAGTTTCATCTTTCCTGTCTCAATGGTTCTAGAGAAGAAGATTTTTCTTATATTTTTCCTATATTTGTAAAACTTTGATTGGCCATTTTGGCCCCACCCTACCCCTGGGGGTCATGATTTGAACAAACTTGAATCTACACTACCTGAGGATGATTCCACATGAGTTTCATCTTTTCTGTCTTAATGGTTCTTGAGAAGAAGATTTTTAAATATTTTTCCTATATAATTCTATGTAAAACTGTGATCGGCCATTGTGACCCCACCCTTGCCCCCGGGAGTCATGATTTGAAGAAACTTTAATCTACACGACCTGAGGATAATTTCACATGAGTTTCATCTTATCTTGGCCCAGTGGTTCTAGAGGAGAAGATTTTTTTAAAATGCCATTAATTTTTCACTAATTCATAATTATCTCCCCTTGGAAGAGGGCGTGGTCCTTCATTTGAACAAACTTGAATCCCCTTTACCCAAGGATACTTTGTAGCGAGTTGAAATTGGTCCAACGGTTCTTGAGAAGAAGTTGGAAATGTGAAAAGTTACAACGACAACGGCGACAAACAACGGACAAATTTTGATCAGAAAAGCTCAATTGAGCCTTCGGCGCAGGTGAGCTAATAAAAAGTGATTTAGAAATTGTAAAGTGCAAAAAAATATAAGACCTGTATTCAAAAATGTGTGTCAAGTTCGTGAGTTAGTCGAGGCCTACTACCATTGTCCACTTAACACCTTGATAATTACATGTACATTTTGTCCAGTGTGCCTGTTAAAAATATTTTTAAAGTGGCACAGTGACGCACAAAGGGGAAAATTGACAAATGTAGAATTTTCGCATGACCTCTGTAAATTTTGTTCAATTCCTTAAAGTATTAGGTTTCAGAAAATTACAGGTTTCAGAACCTAAAAATTAAATTTTTATGGGGAAAAATAAAAGTAAAAATAATTTCTGTCTGCCCCAGAACGAAAATATTGCAAAATACCCTGGCACTTCTTCCTCCCTATTATACGCGTGCGCAGAAAAGTGTTGAATAAGTTTCCATAGTTACCATGGTCTCAAGTATCCACGAATGAATATAAGTAGACCAAAAAAATTGATGTAATCTTTTTAAAAAGTTGTTAGAACATATTTCTCACCTTTGCATGCTCCAGTTGAATTTTGTTTACAAGTTTGAGCTAAAAATAAGAGTAGCGTGACCTTGACATATACGAAACAACGAAACGGTAGATACAACCTTTGTTTTTCCGGTGTAAAGACGAATAATGACCCCCATCGAATAATGACCGGGGGGGGGGTCATTTTTCAACGACAAAAAATGACCCCCACCCGTAGAAAAAAATCATTTTTTGTAGAAAAATAGTCCTAGGGGTCATTATTTTATATGTTAGTCCTATAAAATAATGACCCCCATTGAAAAATGACCCCCTTTAAAGTGATACAAAATATACACTATTTGATATCTTTTTTACAGCGAAACTAATTTTTACATTTTCTGTAACCAGAAAAATACAAAAGTCGTATGAAATAATTAAGAGATTCACGTAGTCTTTTAATGCTAAAATTGTGTTTGAAAAAAGATTCTTTAATTGTCAAGTAAATAAAATTTCTTTTTAATATTCCTCCTTATAATGTTTGCTTAAAGAATGATATTCCACTTGTTTTTTAGAAATCAAACCATGCAAAAATCAGGTTTAAATACTCTTTAATAGGAAAAATTAAATTTTCCGTCATTTCAACTTTTAGCTTGTTTAAGTTTGGCAAATCCTATTTGACAATGAAAGAGGAGGAAATTTTTATCCCCCCCCCCAAAGAACATTACGTTAAATCAAAACAAAAAAAATAATAATAAATGAAAAGCAAAAATATAAATAAAACTCTATACCTTTCAATAATTCTGAAAGAGGCTCTAGATAAAATATTGAAATGAAGTTAAGCCTTCACACAAGCACTATCATATCATAATTTACTTCGCCATGATTAAAGCATACTTAAAATGTTGGTGGGGGTATACTTGAAAGTATTGTGGCAAAGTAACAGTTGAAAATTAGTAGAATAGTAGATTATTTTAAGCTTATTTTTAGTCCCTCCTTTTAGAAAAATAAAGGTAGGGTGTTTTGTTTTTTTTTTGCTTTCGTTCAATATCGACTTCCTCCTAAATAAGAAAGGGGTGGGGTAAGTATAAGACCTAAAAATATGCTCTGTAAAGCTATGGGCTAGTGTAAAATACACAGTCATTCTAATGCAAAAACTATACATGTAGAGTAGACATAAACTTTTGATTTAGCACACAGTATTCATTACATTTCTTTTAACGTAGAACCTACTTCGTATGACACCATGACTGGTAAATGTGTTTAACCTGTGCTAACTCATTAAAACGTCATA